TGTGGACATTGGAAAACTGGGCTGTTTGTTTCATTTTAAATTTTCTTTCTTTCTTTCTTTTTTTTCTTTTTTGAGACAGAATCTTGCTCTGTTGCCAGGCTGGAGTGCAGTGGCCCAATCTCAGCTCATTGCAACCTCCGCCTCTTGGGTTCAAGCGATTCTTCTGCCTCAGCCTCCCAAGTAGCTGGGATCACAGGCACGTGACACCATGCCCGGCTATTTTTTGTATTTTTAGTAGAGATGGGGTTTCACCACGTTGGCCAGGATGGTCTTGATCTCTTGACCTCATGATCCGCCTGCCTCGGCCTCCCGAAGTGCTGGGATTACAGGTGTGAGTCACTGCGCCCGGCCACATTTTAAATTTTCTAACAACATCTACTGTACACTGACTCTGTGGCTGGCAGAGAACTAAGCCCCTGACACAGATTATTTCTTTAACACCTCACAAGGCCCTTTGGTAAGTATCATTTTAACCCAATTTTACAAATGAGGAAACCCTGGGGCTTAGGTTAAGCAGCTGGTCCAAGGGCACAGAGCTGACAAGTGGCAGCAAGATGATCTGAACCCAGCTGAGTTGCGTTGTGCTATGCTCCATGTGCTTGAAATTTGAGGTAGATACCAGCATCCTCAATTAATGTGATAGTTGTGAAGCTAAAACAAAATCAACATTTAAAACAGTGCCTTCCACATAGTAATGAACATTTCTCATGCTTAAGCGCTTAATAATAAGGAAACAAATATCATTGAACTTTTTTGGGTGAAGGACACAATCATACAATATACACAAATACCTAATATTAACTGGTTGCAGAGAGTCTAAAATAATCACTGCAGCTAAAGAAAAAAACCGAAAATTGTTTCTGAGAATAAGGAGTGTGAATAAACACCACTATTCTACCAAAGCAATATAATAAGACACTTAAAATTTAAAAAAAAAACAACCTCAAGTAGTTATAATGCAGATAAGTAGAGTCTTTGGAAATGATTTAAAATTTAATTTCAATGTCTAAACTATAAAGCCTCAAATGAATCATTATAAGTCATTTTAATAAAGTTTAAAGTTTAGCACCTAGTGAAGCAACTTATGCATAGCAGGTTTCCAACAAATGATTCTGGAATGAACGACTAAATTCATGAATGCACTTTTAAAAACAGACATTTCCTTTCCCTGTGTTTGGATACTTTTTTAAATTCCATGATGAAGGTTGCATGACATTTCCTTATCGGTAATTTTAAAAAAAGTAATCCCAGGATCTCCAGTTCAAACAAAGGAAATAACTATCATCTTGAATGACAAAAGGAAATAATTGGCTTAAAATAATGAAAAACAGAAATAAAGTTTTTGTCTTTACAGTGAGATGTGGGGTAAAAGGAGTAGCAACTTCTTCAAAATATCTTTATTCACATTTGAGAAAATATAAAACTATTCTCTAGGCAACAGCATGAAAACAAAAACACACGAAATAAATGGGTACATTTAAGCCACTGTGACTGGTGAAGAAATTTCCCTGTACATATAATTAATATATACAGGTAAATTCAGAACAAGAAAACACCTCTTTCTCAAAAGCATTTTAGTGCCCTGGGTTACTCTGGAGATTCAATAGTTGAATGAATATGTGCTCAAAAATAACTGTTCATTTTTTAACAGTACTTTAAAGAACTAATATGAACATAAAAACACAAATTACTCCATTATTTCCATAAGGGAAAACATTAGGTTAAAACTACAATGGCCAAACTGTTTAGTAAAACTCCATCCTATTTTAAAGGTAAATAAATAAATAAGAGATAGGTCGATGGAAAATAATGAAGATGTCTAGCAATACTTTTTACATCATTTCAACAGAACCAACAGCAAATCTAAGGTTCCCCAAGCATTTCCCACATATTAGGGAAATCAATAGCATTACCTGCGGAGTGCCTGGGGTTGCTTTTGCATAAGGCTTTTATCTCATTTTAGCAACATTAAAAAAAAAACGCAGGATGTCTATAACCTTGGCACCCATCATTACCCTGGCATCTTTAGTACAATTTGCTAATAGAGTGAAAGTACTGTGGTTCAGTTTGGGAAGCTTCTTCATAAGGTTCTGCCAAACTGCAAAAGAGATGGAATAAATAAAAAGGCTGACTGTACATACATCAGAAAAAGCAGACCCTTAATATCCAGGAGGGAGCGATTCATTATGTCAAAACACATCATTATTATACAAAAAAAGAAAGAAAACTGAGAGGGTAATATTTTCAAAAACATAAGAAATATAAAATAATCTAAATTGAATTTCATTTGTCCTGTCTAAACCTATCCCACACTGATATGTCATTTCCATAGACAAAGCACGTCAGATGTGTTAGAATAACATATATATATATAAAACATACCAAGCCATGAATTTAATTTTCATAATAACTATCTCATTTGCCTACATGTTTGGTACTAAGTGGTAGAAATAGTTAAGTAGCAGAAGACAAAACATTTACACCTAATGAGATTACATATTAAACCACCCTAGGTTTTAGTCTCATACTTGCTACAAGAAATCTACAAGGAATGAAACCTGGATGCCTGCGGATTCCACGTGTGACAAAGCATTTTTTCGAAAAGCATTCAAAAGGCTTACTTTCGACTATGCAAAACTAAGCATAAAGTTTAAAGGCTAAACGTCAGTCAGTAAAACTGAATTCCAGTAGTTCTCATGGCTCCAATGAACTTGAAGAGCATAGGTATCTGACTCAATTTATACACTGATATTTTTTATGCTTAATAATATAAACATTTTTTCACATTTACAAAATATGCACAATATATATTCCTTGAGACTAATCTTAGCCATGAGATCTGCCTTTTGTTCTCAGCTTTGTATTTCTGAGAAACTAATGAATCTATGGTGTAGACACAGCAAAAGCAGAAATAAATTCATGGTCTGGGGCAGCAGTATAATTGGGACACAGTAATCTTACAAGGAAAAGAAACAGCACACTAGTACTATAAAGGAAAACAAGTTGCATAATATTTTCCAGAGTCCGATTACTTTTTGTCTGAACTTTTCTACTTTTTTCACTGATTGTTTTAAAATGTGTTTGCTACTAAGGAGAAAAAGGAAGACATGGTTATGGTGTGAATCTTGAAAGATCCCCAAAGCTAGAAAGATTTATACCGAGTCTTTCATTTTCCAACGTCTGTTACAAAGTTCCTGCACTTGTACTTTGAAAAAAACCAAATCTGGAAGGAAACTCTAGTTTACTTTCTGAGTTGGGATTTCCCTATCTATCAGACGAGTTCTTTCTACCGCTCTTTCCCCCCTCAAATCTCCAGAGAAACACACCCATTTTTGCAAACACACCACTATCTATCGCTGCACACACAGGTTCATCAACACCATGACAGACGACACGTCACAATATGATAACCAGAACAGTGAGAAATGGGTTTGTTTTACAGCCCGCTAGGATCCCTAATGCCCTTATTTCTACACAATCCAGCCTCAGCCAGGAACTTTAAAGGATCAGAAAGACAAAACAAGTTGCAAGAAAGGAAGAGAAAGAAAACCGAATGCCCGCTTTTCGAGAGCACTGCAAAATTATCCCCGGGACCCGGCTGCGCTCAAGTGAAGCATTAAAGAACGGCAGCCCAGATTCTAGACACCCAAGATAAGCATCGTGTAAAAGAGAGAAGTAAATAATAAATAATAATGGTCACTGCCATTAAGCATAAGAATAGTAATAACAATTGTCACCACGGCGTTCCGTACCGCAGCTGCACGTGGAGCCGGCTTCTCCTCCGGCCCCCACAGCCCGCAGCCTCCCCTACAGTCCACAGCGCGGCGGAGGAAGGCGGGAGGGCTCCGCGCGCGCTGCGCAGTGGGCGGGGCCGGCCTCTCCCGGCGCCCCGCGCCCCGCCTGTCTCGCCCCCGCGCCTGCGCGTCCGGTGGCAGGGAGGCTCCGCGGACCCGGGTGAGGTGTGTCTCCGGGTGTGTCTCCTTGGCGTCCTAGAGGGTGGGGCTCCCTGACGCTTCCTCAGGAACAGCCCCCTGCAGGAAGACCAGCGACCTCGCGGGACCTTTACCTCTCTGCCTAAATTCTGAGGGAAAGGAGACAGGAGACGAAAAGCCGGTTGGTTTGGGAAGCGTCTGTGTTTGTAAAGGGTTGTGTGAGAGTCCAGCACTTCTAGGCAGCTCTTTGACTACAGAAGGGAGATTTCCAGCATCGAGTGGAACGTACGCTTGTGTGCAGTTATCTTTTGGCGGTAAACGGCCCATTTGTGCAGTTCCAGAGTGTTCAATGGAATAGTGCCGTGCCAGGCACTTTTGTTGTTGCCCTGCAAACTAAACGCACATTTTTGGGGGTGCATCTTCTCACATCATTTCTAAACAGTATGAGCTGGGATCCAGCAGTCCTGGGAAATTTCATTCCAGTGAAACCTATCTTATTTTAACATTGAATGGTTTTGGCTCAAGCACAGTGGTTGAAAAACCATTATAGAAAGAAAACGAGTATGTGAATGGTTAGATATGGTGGGTCTTCAAAAGCTTATGTAATGAAAGGATCTTCTACAGATTTCTGACCAGATTCTCTTTCTACATTTACAGTGATAACATTTTGAAGAAAGAGGGGGAAAAAAATGTCATTTCTACTATTCTGAAAAATCGGTATTTACTAGAGGAAACAGCATTGGCAAGTTGAACTTTGTACTAACATGGAAAATTGTAGAATGATTCTGGGTAGTAATACACCTGTTTAAAAAATTCTATGTTTACTTATATCCCTAAATTTTAACTGGATTCTTTCTATTAATAGAAGTTTTGAAGAATTGTTTTCTTATACTTTTTTCCATAAAGGAATTCTGCTTGAAATCAGTAAAGTATTGGTACTGAACGATTTTCATTAAGATGTACTCTAAATTCTAATTATTTTTCAGCAACAATTCAAACATATTCAAAACCTTTTCAATTCTCACTTAAACCAAGGATTATGAAAAACAACACTTATTATTCACGAAAATGAAAAAGCCCCCTCTACTTCTTCGAAGACCCTTACCTCCAAAATTCACTAAGCCGACTTTACATAAAAAAAAACCCCGTACAGGTATGTGTATTAATCAGATATGTGTATTCACATTTATGTATTTTTCTATAGAAATTCCTTGACTTGCACAGCCCAGAATCACAAGAAATACACTCACTAATAAGTTACAAATGTTTGTTGTCAGATGATAACATCCAGTTCAATTCTACAAGTACAGTTGTTGATACTCACTGGTGGACTTGGTAGGTTCAAGTTTACCTCACCGTTGAACTTTACTTGTAACCCAGAATTGGTACTCATCGGGGTTTCTCAGTCATGCAGATATGTGCAGAGCCCTGAAAAATTTGAGTCATACAACACACATGCCCCCAGCTGAGTTGGAACAAGGCTGCCTCTGCCTTCTTGTTTCAGCTCTCATATTGTAAACAGGTACTGTTTTCCCCGTATGTTCAGAGCTGTGTTTCTTCACTCTTTGTGCTTTTAGTTAGTAATTTCGCTGTGGACCCCAAGCATAGTGTTTCCAAGCAGGAGAAAGCTGTGATAGGCCTTACAGAGAACAAGATATGTGCTAGATAGGCTTCCTTTAGGCATGCGTACAGTGTTGTTGGCCCTAAGTTCAGTGTTAATGAATGAACTGTATAAAAGTGTCTTTAAATAGAAACACATATAAAACAAAATTATGTGTTGATCAGTTGTTGAAAATGTTGAAACAAGAGGTTTTCAGGAACCTAACCCCGTATTTCTCCTAGGAGAAATGGCTCAGTAATGGGTAATTCATTGCTCGTAGAACAGAACTACTGCAAATAACGAGGACTGAATATATTTAGTGAACAAAAACAGACCTTACCAGTTCCCTTCTGGTAAATTAGTTACCCCTGGTGGGACAGTGATTATAACCAATCAATCATATAAATAAATGCAAAATTACCCTGGGATAAGTGCTATGAAGTAAAGATGAGCCACTTATATAACTATAACTTTATATAATTCTTAATCCTCTATTTCTGTATATGGTTTCTAGTCCCTCCTTATTATAAGCAATAAAATTAGCATATTTTTAAATTTTCCCCTTCTCAGTCTCCTCGTCCATCTGACTTTAGTTAATTGCAGTTTTAGTGTCAACATTTATACTATTCAAATATACCTAGTCTATAACTTGATTTATGATATTAAACTATTATTTTTTGTCCTGTGGCTATTAAAGATGTGTAACTCAACTTACCTGTACTACTGCCACAATTTCCTCTCCTACTATCTCTCCCAATTTTTGTTATATGATTTTCTACATCATCATTTCTGCATTCCTATAATGTTCTATATTTACAATGTGATCTGTAATAATGCTTACAGTATGTAGATTTGCAGCTCACTATCAGTTATCTTGTCGTTTCTCTATTCATCTTTTGTTTGAAGTTTGTCTTCTAGCGCAGAATTTCACAGCCTTGGCACTATTGACATTTCTGGTCAGATGGTTTCTTTTTTTCCCTGGTGGGGAAATCAGAGCTCTCTTGCTCCAAAGGCTCTTGTCAGAGTGCTTGGCACACAGTAGGTGCTCAAAATTTTGTTTTATAATTTCTTCTAAAAGATAACAGGTTACATGTGCAGAATGTACAGGTGTGTTATATAGATATACATGTGCCATGGTGGTTTGCTGCTCCTATTGACCCATCCTCTAAGTTCCCTCCCCTCACCCTCCACCCCCGCAACAGGTCCTGGTATGTGCTGTTTGCCTCTCTGTGTCCATGTGTTCTCAATGTTCAGCTCCCACTTATGAATGAGAACATGTGGTGTTTGGTTTTTTGTTCCTGTGTTAGTTTGCTGAGAATGATGGCTTCCAGCTTCATCCATGTCCCTGCAAAGGACACGATCTCATTCCTTTTTATGGCCACATAGTATTCCGTGATGTATATGTACCACATTTTCTTTATCCAGTCTATCATTGATGGGCATTTGGGTTGATTCCATGTCTTTGCTATTGTAAACAGTGCTGCAATAAACATATGTTTGTTCATGTGTCTTTATAGTAGAACGATTTATATTCCTTTGGGAACATACCCAGTAATGGGATTGCTGGGTCAGATGGTATTCCTGGTTCTAGATCCTTGAGGAATCGTTATACTGTCTTCCATGATAGTTGAACTAATTTACCCTCCCAACAACAGTGTAGAAGTGTTTCTATTTCTTCACAACCTTGCCAGCACCTATTGTTTCCTGACTTTCTGACTTTTTAATAATAGTCATTCTGACTGGTGTGAGATGGTATGTCATTGTGGTTTTGATTTACATTTCTCTGATGATCAGTGATGTTAAGCTTTTTTTTCATATGTTTGTTGGCCATGTAAATGCCTTCTTTTGCGAAGTGTCTGTTCATATCCTTTACCCACTTTTTGATGGGGTTAGTTTTTTTTCTTGTAAAATATGTTTAAGTTCCTTATAAATTCTGGATATTAGACCTTTTGTCAGATGGGTAAATTGCAAAAATTTTCTCCCATTCTGAAGGTTGCCTGTTCACTCTGATGGTAGTTTCTTTTGTTGTGCAGAAGCTCTTTAGTTTAATTCGATCTCATTTGTCAGTTTTGGCTTTTCTTGCCATTGTTTTTGGTGTTTTTGTCATGAAGCTTTGCCCATGCATGTGTCCTGAATGGTATTGCCTAGGTTTTCTTCTAGGATTTTTGTGGTTTTGGGTTTTACATTTTAGTCTTTAATCCATCTTGAGTTAATTTTTGTGTAAGATTTAAGGAAGGGTTCCAATTTCAGTTTTCTGCATATGGCTAGCCAGTTTTCCCAGCACCACTTATTAAATAAGGAATTCTTTCCCCAGAAATAGTGTTATTTCTGAGGCCTCTGTTCTGCTTATTGGTCTGTATGTTGTCTGTTTTGGTAACAGTACCATGCTGGTTTGGTTACTGTAGCCTCACAGTATAGTTTGAAGTCAGGTAGTGTGATGCCTCTGGCTTTGTTCTTTTTGCTTAGGACTGTCTTGGCTATATGGCATCTTCTTTAATTCCATGTGAAGTTTAAAATAGTTTTTTTTTTCTAATTCTGTGAAGAATGTCAAAGGTAGTTTGATGGGAATAGCACTGAATGTATAAATTACTTTCGGTAGTATGGCCATTTTCATGATAGTGATTGTTCCTATCCATGAGATAGAATGTTTTTCCATTTGTTTGTGTCTTGTCTTATTTCCTTGAGCAGTGATTTGGAGTTCTCCTTGAAGATGTCCTTCACATCCCTTGTTAGCTGTATTCCTAGGTATTTTATTCTCTTTGTAGTGATTGTGAATGGGAATTCATGATTTGGCTTTCTGCTTGCATATTGTTGCTGTAAGGGAATGCTTGTGTGATTTTTGCACATTGATTTTGTATCCTGAGTCTTTGCTAAAGTTGCTTATCAGTTCAATAAGTTTTTGGGTTGAGATGATGGGGTTTTCTAAAATAAAATCATTTCATCTGCAAACAGAGACAACTTGACTTCCTGTCTTCCTATTTGAATACCTTTATTTCTTTCTCTTGCCTGATTGCGCTGGCCAGAACTTCCAATACTATGTTGAATAGGAGTGGTGAAGGGGCATTCTTGTCTTGTGCTGGTTATCAAAGGGAATGCTTCCAGCTTTTGCCCATTCAATATGATATTGGCTGTAGGTTTGTCATAAATAGCTCTTATTATTCTGAGATATGTTTCATCAATACCTAGTTTGTTGAGGGTTTTTAACATGAAGGGATGTTGAATTTTATCAAAGGCCTTTTCTGCATCTATTGAGATAATCATGTGGTTTTTGTCTTTGGTTCTGTTTATGTGATGGATTATACTTATTGATTTGTATATATTGAACCAGCCTTGCGTCCAAGGGATAAAGCTGACTTGATTGTGGTGGATAAGTGTTTTGATGTGCTGGTGGATTTAGTTTGCCAGTATTTTATTGAGGATTACTGTGTTGATGTTCATCAGGGGTATTAGCCTGAAGTTTTCTTTTTTTGTTGTGCCTCTTCCCCATTATGGTATCAGGATAGTGCTGGCTTCATAAAATGAGTTAGGGAGGAGTCCCTTTTTTTCAATTATTTGGAATAGTTTCAGAAGGAATGGTACCAGCCCCTCTTTATATTTCTGCAGCTGTGAATCCATCTGGTCCTGGGCTTTTTTTAAATTATTACCTCAGTTTCAGAACCTGTTATTCAGGGGTTTGACTTCTTCCTGGTTTAGTCTTGGTAGATGTATGCATCCAGGAATTTATCCATTTCTTCTAGATATTCTAGTTTATTTGCATAGAGGTGTTTAGAGTATTTTCTGATGGTAGTTTGTATTTCTGTGGGGTCAGTGGTGATATCCCCTTTATAATTTTTTTATTGTGTCTATTTAATTCTTCTCTCTTCTTTATTAATCTAGCTAGTGATCTATCTATTTTGTTAATTTTTTCAAAAAACCAGCTCCTGGATTTGTTGATTTTTTTTTTTTTTTTGGAGGGTTTTTTGTATGTCTGTCTCCTTCAATTCTTCCCTGATCCTAGTTGTCTTCTGCTAGCTTTTGGATTAGTTTGCTCTTGCCTCTCTAGCTATTTTTTTTTTTTTTTTTTTTTTTTTTTGAGATGGGAGTTTCGCTCTTGTTACCCAGGCTGGAGTGCAATGGCATGATCTTGGCTCACCGCAACCTCTGCCTCCTGGGTTCAGGCAATTCTCCTGCCTCAGCCTCCTGAATAGCTGGGATTACAGGCATGCGCCACCGGCCCTCTCTAGCTCTTTTAATTGTGATGTTAGGGTGTTGATTAGAGATCTTTCTAGCTTTCTGATGCGGGCATTTATTGCTATAAATTTCCCTCTTAACATTGCTGTAGCTGTGTCCCAGAGATTCTGGTACATTGTCTCTTTGTCCTCGTTGGTTTCAAATAATTTCTTGACTTTTGCCTTAATGTCATTATTTACCTAGGAGTCATTCAGGAGCAGTTTGTTCAATAGCCATGAAATCGTGTGGTTTTGAGTGAGTTTCTTTATGCTGAGTTCTAATTTGATTGCACTGTGGTCTGAGAGACTGTTTGTTATTATTTCAGTTCTTTTGCATTTGCTGAG